CTCCTACCTATTCCCACCAGGAATACTAATTTTTTCACAATGTATTGCAAAGAACGAAATAAATAAACGTAAGTAACATGAGGGTTATTCAGGTATGGAGATACAACTCCACAGGTAATAAATACAGATAATAATATTTGAGATCAGAAATCAAAAAGGCGTGCCTATTAATCATTAACACTATTACAATGTTATACTGTATTAACGAATATTATTTTCTCACTTTAAAGTGGTCACCGCTGAAGGGCGAGAAGATGGAGAAGACGAAAACGAGATTGAGGGTAAGTATTGGGCGCTTTGGGTCCGTATAAATAGTGTATGCATTTAAAGTTCTAAGATGTAAGTAAAAAACAAATATCTGTGTCAGCGAAAGTACAGGTTGGCATAAGCGGTTTAAACTATATAGAGGCAATTATAAAATCACTAGCGTAATATTGTAACACTTCTTGGTAACAAGTAACTGCTTTGCATATGGTGTTTTGATAATTTAATACAAACATAACGGAATCGAATGTTTACGTGGCAGCTCGCTTCAAAAATTCTAAATTACAACAAGTCACTGTGGTTCTACTAATGCTTTTGTGTGATATCTCTAAAAATATGTATTTTAATACTATTTTTTAAATCATTATTTTATTCAGAAAATCTTAACATCGATGCTGTTGAAACTGAAGGTAGGCCTAATCGTCCATGTCATTGATATCAAATACACATCTCGTGACCGAAGGGTGAAATTACTTAAAGGGCTGTGGGGCCTGGGGTTTGCAAGTGGGCCTAAATACTCTGTGGCTAAAACATATACCAGATTTTTTGTGATTTTTCCTGGGGTTCGGGGGTGTATTTTCCCTGTTGTTGTATTTTTCTATGTTAATCTGGCCCTCAAGATACATTCTGTTTTTAATGTGCATTTAGAATGGTATGGAATTGCAATGTAAACAAAACTTACCACATTTTCCAGTAGCAAAGAAATTGTTACTCATGAGTCTTGAACTCTTGGTTCTGTAAATGCATTTTCTACCAGTGTAACCGTTCTTTTGAGGGATCACTTGACCAGTCGTGCACATAATACTGAACAAAATAGTTATGTTGCAGGCTGTTTTATCAGCTTAAATCAAGACTTTGAAAGGTAAACATGTCTTATCGTTCAAACAACGAAGTCTAGAATCAGCATACTAACATTATTATGGTTATTATTTTAATACGAAATATGGTTTTAATTAAATAAAATAATTACAGCATATGTTACGTAATGATGAATAGACATATAATTTTATATATTTATAATTAAAAATGTAGCTTCAAAGAATATTAATTTTCAACATGTCACCGATAATAATAGTGATTTTGTTTAAAATTTATTATTGTTTATCGTGCCTGAACACCAGAACAAGAACCAGAACCTGAAGGTATATTGAATTTCATCTGGTGGTTGTTGTAGTAGTAGTAGTAGTAGTAACAGTGGTTGTAGTAGCAGTGGTTTTAGTAGCAATGGTTGTAGTAGGCTAGTAGCAGTGGTTGTAGTAGCAGTGGTTGTAGTAGCAGTGGTTGTAGTAGGTACTGTATTAGGCCAGTAGTATTAGTACGCTTTTTCTTTTTAAACCAGTACAGTTTTGCTCAGGCTCATTGTTCATATATTTTTGCCGATTTCAGGCCCAAAAGGTTCTTAATTTTTAAGCAATTTCAGTCTCAGTGTTTTAAAAAAGTGTAGCAAGTAGTAGTAATAGTAGCAGCTGTAGCAGTATTACCCAATGTAATGCCATGTTTGTTATTTTATATCAAAGAAAATATTCTGTCTCGCCGTGAGGGCGTTGTTGCTACACAGAGTTCTGAGGGATGGAGCGGAGTCCCAGGGAGAGCGATCGATGGAGACCACACTTCTGTGTGGTCCGGCGGATCCTGTACCCATACTCGTAAGTTGACATAGGCCTACATGAAAATACATTTAACAGCTTGTCACTGTTATTCGCTATTTGTTATTCGTCATTTACCAATTACTTGCGATAAAATTACTTACATTAGTATGATATAAATTAACAATTATTAATAAATTATAATAATAATTATTATTATTATTACTATAGGCCTATTATTTAATTCAATCCAAATATTACATGAAAATACATTTAACAGCATGTCACTGTTATTCGCTTGTCATTTACCAATTACTTGCGATAAAATTACTTACATTAGTATGATATAATTTAACAATTATTAATAAATTATAATAATAATTATTATTACTATAGGCCTTCAATTCAATCCAAATATTATTAGGCCTATTGCTAGTATTACTATCATATTAATAATGATGATGATGATAATAATGACAACAACAACAATAATAATAATAATAATAATAATCATAATCATAATAATAATAGTAGTAATAATAATAATAATAATAATAATAAATAATAATACTTATTATTATTAGGCCTGTTATAATTATTAAAAATGCTAATCATTTTGAAATTCTGGTTTTTGAATTTTTTTTTATAGAAAATACTGGAACCAGCTGGTGGAAACTGGATCTTGGAGAGTCTTCTCCAGTTAAATTCGTCCGGATTACTAACAGAGCTGGTAAGACTGTTAATCTTCGTGTTGCTCGTTAATAATAATAATAATAATAATAATAATAATATATATATCTGTCTCTTATACACATCTAGATGTGTATAAGAGACAGCAATTCCCTGTGTCATTAATTTATAGTATTAACACGTTATGAACACGTTAAAATGAAGCATTAATTTCTTTTGTACAGCGTACGGTGAACGTCTCGAAGGAGCAGTCATTCGCGTTGGTGACTCCGAAACGATTGAAGAAAATCCCGAGTGCAGTAATGCCATAACTACTTTCGACATTAGAAACGGACCCACCATCAACAAGTTCTGTAGGCCCAATACAGCCGGCAGATACGTTAGTGTCCATGTTGACAACTTTCTGACGCTCTGTGAAGTGGAGGTGTTCAGTTCAGGTAAATAGATCTTTCCGCCAGGCGTGTAACAGGGGTCTTGGGTCGGGGGGGGGGGGCAAAGGTAATAATTTTCCCTGTTAGTAATTTATCATACCCACCCCACCCCATATAGAAAACAATACGACATAGGGCTTATCTTATTTATTACAAACATATTCTTTCACCATAATACACATTGAGGCCATTCTTTTAGGTTAAAACGATCTATCAGAAATTTTTCTTTCTTGAGATTTGGGACTATTATGTGTTGAACTTAAAAGGATAACCCAAAAAAATGTTTTAATTTGTGTTTTTAGTTGTAATTTCGTCGAATTGATCAGAACTCCCTAAAATGTGCAATTTATAGAGGAAATTGGCCTAAGGTAACAAAAAAACACAGAGGATGAAAAGGGCATTTATCAAGGGGTGGGGAAAGATTTTCCAAAGATGGATATTTTCCCCGTTGTCCCCCAGTGTTTTTAATTCTAATTTCATCGGAATTGATCAAGACTCCCTATAATGTGCAATTTTTAGAGGAAATTGGACGACTTTAACAAAAAATGCACGCGAAATATGAGATTTTTCGGCACTTTCAGGGGAGGTCCTTCTTTTAGGTTAAAACGATCTATATTAAATTTTCTTTCTTGAGTTTGGGACTATTATGTGTTTAAATAACTTAAGGATAACCCTAAAAAACTCGCAAAATTTGTGTTTTTAATTCTCATTTCTTTGGAATTGATCAAAACTCCCTAAAATATGCAATTTATAGAGGAAATTGGCCTACTGTAACAACAACAAATGCGCGCGAAATTTGAGAATTTTAGGCATTTTCAGAGGATGAAGAGGGCATTTATCAAGGGGTGGGAAAAGATTTTCCAAAGATGGATATTTTCCCCTTGTCCCCCGGTGGTTACGCCATCTGGCAGCTTAGATCAAAGGAGTTATAGCAGTTTTTGAAGTGGACAAGGGGTTGCAGGGTGTTGTGAGTCTGGTCATTATGATATTTTCCTTTTTATTCTTGTCTTTATTTTTCTCTTCTCTTTTTCTTTTTCCTTTACTTTTCTTTTCCTCTTCATTTTCTTTCCCTCCCTCTCCCCTCTTTCTTTTCTATTATTACCCGTCCCGGTACGACGGCTTGGCCAGCCCGGTAAAAACCGTCAGGGGGGCAGTCTCATTTCACTACTTTATATCCAATTTCATATTATATATACTGTAATAATTTACTATTTTATACAGTTCTTTCATCCTTGTTGATAGTCTCGGAGAGCCCCTCGATGGCAAGCATTCTTCAATTAGGCAATCCTACCATATATATACACCCTTAAGTGGATCCTGTTATTTTGGCGAAATAAATTATGTATGACGACCAGCAAAAAATAATGAAATGTGTCTATCAAAATGTAATCAACATTAGTTACTATTTCTCACACATCTCACTTGGCAAACTAAAAAATTAAAATTCTTCCATTTGGTTTCCAAGGTTTTCAGATTTGCATTTTTTCCTTTTCTATTTTGTATTTTGATTTCACATCAGAAAATGTTAGCCCTTTCGTAATCGACGTTGAAAAAAATACATTGTTCACCAGTTATTTAGAACATTATAAGATCAAAAAAGCAATAAAACATGTTGCCTCTGAAAATGATTTAGCCATAAATATGGTGAAATATTTTATATTGTAGACATATTCCATAGGCGTATCTAGAAAGTTCCTAAGGTTGGGGGGAGGGGAAAGAGGGTCGATCAAGAGACAACACACACTGGGGTTTTTTAAACGGCAGGAAAGAAACACGGGCGTTGTTTTTGAGCGATCAATAATGTCTTTTTCTTTCTTTGTTTTTTGTTTTTTGTTTTTTTTAACTTTCCAATGGGGGAGGGGGAGGGAGGGGGATGGGCCCTGTTTTCCTTCCCTTAAATTACGTATTATCGAAACATTTCTTTATTTTTCAAAGATTTTATTTGTACTTTTTCTTTTCTTTTTATATAAAAGCGTTTTGTTACTATATTTAGAATGTAAAACAAAAAAGGCTGCTCTTATAGCTACAGAGACAACACATTCTCCAAATGCATTTTGGATCTCTTTTTTCTAATTTAAAGGAATTGCATTCCTTACTCCCATATACTTATTTGCTGTGTTCTGGAGCAGCTTCTTATGAGCCCCGGGATTTAAAAGTGGTAGCCTTCAAACTACTCAATTTTCCTATGCATGCTCGCCAAAGACTGAAAAAAACCCCAAAAAACACTGTGCTGGGCACAGGACAGCGTGACTGAAAATTCACACTAACACATTAAAACATTTACATCGTATTTTTTAAGGCAAAATAATAAAAAAATAATAATAAAATAGAAAATAAATCGTAGTATATGTATGAGTATAATCAGTCAGATCGCTGTCATGTTTTCAGAGTTATTGAGTGAAGGACGTCATGCCATACAGAGTTCTCTTGGATGGGGTGGAATTCCAGGAAGAGCAGTTGACGGCTCTAGATCTACCAACTACAACCACAATTCCTGTACACATACAGGTAAGTACACACACACACATGTTTGAAGCGAGCCACATGCTATTAAGAACTGCCTGCCGTAAAAGCTCGAATATGCACCGCTCTCGAATAAGCACCGCACCAAACTTGATTTTTTTCTGCTAAAAAGCGCTGCTCTCGAAGCGCCGCGGCGCTGTGTGTAATATGAAACACTTTGAGAAAAGGAGTTTTAGATACAAGGTATACCGTACAGTGTTAAAATGAATAAATAACGAAGACACAAGCATTTCTTGATAAACGTTTATTTACTATAACGTAGGATAGATGAGATAGGTAACAAGGGAACAGGTGTTACGTCGCACTATTTGTAATCCTGTCATAGGCCTAGTTTGTAACAAACCTTTGTCGAATTCTGAGCTGTTGTATTTTGTAATAAAATCTGTCGTATTTTGTAATAACACATCAAATACCTGCTTTTTCTATACTTTTGCAGTTTTTGAGAAAATAAATAAAAATGTTAATGGTTGTTTGGTGTGAGTATATGATTTAGAATCGCACTTCATGCCTCTTTTCGTCTATAGTTCTACGGTTTTTGATGGGTTTAATAAAATATTTGTGAATGATTTTGTTTGGTGTAGCTGTGTGATATATACCGGTACCGTAAATCCCCGAATAAACAACGCTCTAGAATAAGCATGCATTTTCGAATAAGTGCCGCACCACCAAACGTATTTTTTTTCGCTAAAGCGCCGTGATGCTTATTTGAGAGTACATTATTATTACCCCGTGTGTAATTGAGAAACAGGGTTTTAAATATATTGTAGGCCTAGTGTTCAAATGAATAAATAGCGCAATGGACACAAGCATACCTTTATAAACGTTTATTTACGATTACAGTACCGGGTATGTAGGGCCTATGACAGGCATAACACAGGAATACCAAGATAGGTAACATGGGAACGATGGAAAGCGCCACGACAATTTAGGCCTATTTAATAAACGCCACAAATTTTACAAGCGCCCATGCGCTTATTCGAGGATTTATGGTAAATAACGAAAAAGAGCGAGCGAGCATGTGACTATTGACATCATACTATCATATACTCACACCAAATCAATAACACAAATTTTTATTTAATCCCACAGAAACTGCAAAAATATAGAAGAAAACGGGCATTTGATGTGTTAGGGCATTAAAAAATACGAGACTTTATTACAAAATACGACAGCTCAGTTTATTACAAAATACGACAGGTATTACAAAAATGCGACAGTTAGCAGCCCGTACACAGGATTTTTATGGGTGTCTATAAAACGAAGACCGAAGACCCAAAAACGAAGACCCCTATTTTTTCTCTTCTATTTTAATGATAATACGCCAGGCTGTCACAAAATCAAAATTAAGGGTTTTTTGGGCGTCTGTTTGTAAATTTGTGGATGCTAATTTGTGTGAGGAGTGGACCATAATGGCTGGTTGCCGCCAGGGACAGAGCCCTGCTGGGGTCGAGTGGGCAGAGTCCCCTCGCGCTCAGACATTTTTGATGTTTGAGGCCTGGGGTGCTCGGGCTGCTCGTTCCTCGTGAATCCGCCACTGGAGGATCTACATACCTCAGCCCTACCATGGTTGCGGCTGAGGTAAGAAAATTTATGATTATGATACCTCTAGATGGCCGTTGGCACTCGCAGACATTAAGAAGGATAATTTTAGTGAAACCTATTAGTTGGAGAGATAGCTGACATTTATTTAAAGTATTGAGTGCAAAAGGTTTGAGTGTGCAGTTCGATTGTACTTTGCCTACAAATGAAGGAACGGGGCATCTTAAGTTGCGCAATCCTGGGGCTGTCTCTTATACACATCTAGATGTGTATAAGAGACAGGCTTTCTGGCCAGTACTCTGGTACTCTCCAAACAACTTGTAAGGCCTATCACAACTTGGTAGCACAACTGAATTATCAGCATCACCTCTTGATTCCCGCGGTGAATGGTGGTCGAAGCTAGACTCAGCCGCATCAGTTAGTTCCTTCCTTAATCTTAGGCCGTGGCCTAGGGTGGTGTGTCCTCCCAGGGCAGTTTCTCTCCTAATGTCCAGGAGCGATGTCTCTACTGGTACATAGGAGCTAGGCCCGTTTGACGTACTGGGCTTGTTTGTTTCACGTACAGACCTTAGGCCTCCCTCAGCATTCACTGAGATTTCAAGGCCTAGGCTTTGAGCTGGCAGCTGTAGGCTATTTCTGCTATCCTCGGTAAAGGGGTAGTGTGCTCTACTAATGTCCAGGAGTGAATTCTCAACTGGAGCATTGGAGCTAGACCCCTGTGTACCGACTGGTCCTGGCCTAGCAAACGATTCTGATCTGATTCTGAGTTAAATTTCCCCGAGTAGATCCTCCATATACTGACTTGTATCCTGATTCGAGTTATTATAAAATACGACGTAACAAACGGACATGGAAAGCACCACGCCAATATGTTTTTTTTTTATCCACTCTCGAATAGGCCTAAGCAAAAATATTATAAAAATATTATAAGCCCTGCGGCGCTTATTCGAGCCTGTAATGATGTTACGAGTTATTTTAGTTTCACCAGGCTATAGCACAAATATTGATAATATTTTTGTTCTTCCGTACATTCAGAACGAGGACCTGTAAATTGGTGGATGGTGGATCTAGGAAATTCCTACAGCATTCAATATGTGAGAATTCACAATCGAGGAGGTATGTAAACAGGATCCCATTATAGGATGTTTCAAGATATAATTTGCATGCAATAATATCATCGAGGTTCATTGTTAACCAAATCATTCAATTTCATCCTCTGCGCTCTGTTTCAGCTGGACGGCTGAAATCCAGCCATACAAAGCAGGGGCGGCGCCAGGAGTTGCCCGACAGGGGTCATATCCCCGACACGGGGGGGGGGGAGAGGGAACGTGGGGGATGGACAGGGGTCATATCCCCGACACGGGGGGGGGGGAGAGGGAACGTGGGGGATGATGTCCCCAACGAGAATAAAGTGGGCGTGGTCGGGCGTCGCTCAACATTTTTGTAAAGAGGTCCATGGGTCAAAGCCCCCTCAAAGTACGACAATTTTGGAGTTTTAAATGATTATTTAATCGATTTTAGAGTCTAATAATATGTAGGAAATACATATAACTTTTCTTTTTCCCCTACTAAGTGTGGTTTTTCACCCCGAAAGTGGAGGGGGAATCCTCCCTAAAAGGGGCCTATAGCCCCCTAGCGCCCCCAAACTGTACTATCTTTTGAAGAACGTTTGGTCCCATATGGTCTATGTATGCTATAAAGAACTCTTCGGAAAAGAATGTCTCGGTGTTCTGCGCAATCACCACCAGAAGATCCCAACTGATGGACTTTCTCTGGTTATCTTTGTATTAATTTCATGCCGACTAGAATCAAATCCACATACAGTATTTAGGACATGGACAAGTACAAAGTTAATAACATTCTTATGTGATTCATAATTAAATTACAGATAGTAACCTTTAATTTCTCATTATAACAATGGTACAGTTTTCAAAGAGATTGTTGGGCTTTATTGACAGCTGCTTTACAGATTCCATACTTTTAAATCTTTCTTAAGATTGCTGCCGGGAACGATTGAATGGTGCCACTATTCGTGTCGGAGATAATTATGATGGTATGCTGACTAATGCCCAGTGTGGAGAGCCAATCGCTGATGCAGACACAAGCGCCAGCTCCGTAATTGATCGACAGTGCAATCCCCCACTTGATGGACGATACGTTAGTGTCGCGATCGAGGTGGACACATACCTGACCCTTTGTGAGGTCGAGGTGTGGGGACAGGGTACGGATATAATTATTTAATTATCAATGGAAGAATGAATGAATGAATGTATGAATGAAATAATGAATGAATCAATAAACATGAATGATGAATGGTAATGGTTGATAATACGAAAAAAAACCCCCAAAAAACCGGCAGAATGAAAATAACTCATGACTATATCTCTATCACCACCACCAACACATTCAGCTAATTTGTAAGCATTTTTTTTTTTTACTTAAGGAGATTTATCACGACCTGAAGAAAATACTGAAACTGGTAAGTAGGCCTACTTATGTTTTTATGGAAATATTTTTTTGACAAAATATAAGTTGCTCGGTGATAATAAGTTTGCGTGAAGCACAGCAGCACAGTAAATAATAGTTACACTACAACATATGGATAGGTCCCCACATAAACGAAAAAGAAAGAAAACCAAATGCTATGAAATAGTTTTTGTTATGGAATGAAAAGATAGATATTCTTAGAAATACTATTGTCAGTTCGAACCAAGAACTGCCTTTCCTAAAATCTTAAAATAAGGTCAATAGTAATAAAATATTAATTATAGCTTCACTTTTTTTGTGAAATTAACTGATTCACATTATGGTATTTTCATTTCATTTAGTTATTACGCCTTAAAAAATTGCATTGGGAGTTCTAAAGATGCCAACGCTTCTATGAATCGGCGAGTCATAAAAATAATATATTTTACTTGAATTAAAAAAAAAAGAAAGAAAATATTTGAAAATTAAATCGTTTTGTTACTGCTTTAGGTTTGTTGTCGAGTGGAAGACCAACTGCCCAGAGTTCGACTGGGTGGCAAGGACTCTCGCTGAGAGGTGTCGATGGTGATTATCGTGGAAGATACGGTGACCGAACATGTACACACACACGTAAGACACATTGTTAGATAACCCATAAGATATGATACGATTTTATTGGTTCTCTTTAATAACACTGTTCCATCATGTAATCGCGCCACGAATCCATTCCGTAAAAATCGCCATGTGATTAATACATAGCCTATGTTTGAAGCTGACCATGGAAACGAAGAAAAGACCAGGTTGTATATTTTCAGAATTGTTCTTTTCTAAAATTATAAAAACGGGTGGAATTATGCATGATCTTAGTCAGAAATGCCCCGCCTCAGTAACCCGTTTTCGCGCGATTTGGTGACGCGGGAAACCCGGCTGTTGTCAAGGATGTAGATGGGGCCGTCGTTAAGCAATGTCTACATCACTCCAATTTCTCCATTTGTTGAGAACGGCCTTATAATGTTTAATGAATACTATATCATTTGCATAAAACATAGTTTGCAAGTGATTCGTAATTGTACTCCATTAGGGCCCTCTATGTAGGTTAGATGCGTCTGACTTAATAAAGTTTTTACGTGATGTGTATATACAGTATGCATATTTATATAAACCTATATATATATATATCTTACTTGTTTTACAGTATAATTAGGCATAATTATCTAGTCGAATAATAGGAATATCTTGAATCTTTATCTTCCAATTGGTATCTAAACGAGAAATTAAAATCTCTTGAAACTTATCTCGCAACTGGAATTATGGTAAAATTTCGTGAGAATCCTTGCAAATGATGAAATTATTCATGTATTAGTATTGTGCTTTGATGATTTTTCCCTCTCCACTGCCTGTTTATTAAGGTCGAAGCACCTCGTGGGACTACAAGTATTTCGGTGTTATGGTGACCGAAGATATATATATATATATATATATATATATATATATATATATATATAATAGAAAATAATGAAACAACTTCAGTAGTAGACTTTAAGAACACTGATTTATTATAAACTCGGATATTTCTGCCACTCCTGTGGCCTCCATCAGCGAGAATGAGGAAAACATCATGAATCAATATAATATAGGCTGTCTTATAAAAAAAGAATAAAGGTGACAGAGAGCAAATGAGAAATACTTATAAAACTGTACAATGATTGGTCTATTTATCTATACATACTGAGTATCTACAATAATAAAGAACCAAGGGTGTTAATTGCAGAGACTAGTCAAATAAACTATCCATTGTATTGGCCAGCACAACACAGATAAGATCGTTATTTCAGAGAAATGGATCATATAGAGATTGTAACTGAGCCAACTGTAGGAAGACCTAATAATATAACGTATGCTAGGCCTGTGAATCTACCTAGAATAATGAATGAAGCAATGCAGTAATATAATAATAATAATAATAATAATAACAATAATAATAATAATAATAGTAATGATAAAAATAATAGTAATAATACTAATAATAATAATACTAATAATAATGACAATAATAACAATAATAATAATAATAATAATAGTAATGA